AGCATGAATGAGGTGAGGTTCCTCCCTGTGTTTGTTGAAATTGTGCTGAGGCCTTATAGGTTGTTTATATATGATGACATATGGATTGAACATCAGTTTTTGTGACCAGTTATAAGGCCTCATTGTTGTGCTAAGACTTGATTGAATTTCGAAAAGAAATAGAGCATGTTATGCATCAATCCTTTGGCCTTGTATTTGATTATATCCGGAGCCATGTTTATGCGTTTATATGCTGAAGTTTTATGTCATTTCAGAGCTTAGTGCCCAGTTATATTGCCTTATTGTTGTGCTAAGTTTTGGGCTAAAGTTAGAAGGGAAAAGAGAATCAATTTTGTTGAGTTTAAGGCTTTGTTACTGTTGGTTTTACCGAGCCTGATTTATATGTTTTTATATGCTGAATTGTATTCATTTTCAGAGTATTAATCTCAGTTTAGAGCCTTATTAGTGTTAATATTTGGACTCATTTTGCCACCAACTAAAAAGTTATATTTTTTTTAATTATACTATTTTTTCTTGTGTAATCTTAATTTAAGTTATTTTGGTCTTGTAGTGTTCTTTTATTTTCATGCATTTAAAATTTATTATTATAATTTAGAAATACTAAATTTTTATGTTTATTGAGAATAGAATATTAAAATTTATATTGAATGAGTGGATAATGAGTCACATATATGTATTTAAATGGAGAGAGATTTAGTGGAAAGATAATGTGGAAATAATGTGGATGAGAGAGGGTGTTAATTTTTGATTGAATGAATGAGATTGTGTATTTGGGTCGTGATGTCCTACTGCATCCGACCATTTAGATTGGTATGCACTATCAAACTATTTCTCAACATATGTTTAATTACGAAAACACCATTTTATTAATAAATAAAGTTATCAAAGTGGATCTCATTTGTTATTCTCATTCTTGGTTGATCTTGAGAACCCCACAATCTTCATCCAAGTTGGCGAAATCTTACAATTCACGATTATATTGAAACCTCGATCTACTCTTTTTTCGCATTGCCACATTTGGTTCGTTCGCTTGTTCCGTACGATGGGTTAATATCTACTCTTTGACGGCGACAAGGCGGAGGATTCAAGAGTCGGCCGTAGGGAGAAACCCCAACCGTCTAAGCCATAAGATCTCTCCATTCACGGTTCAGTTGCTTCTATTTTGGAATTTTGTTGTGAGTTCCTCATTGAAGAGTTCCCATAGTTGGAGGTTGAGGATAATTGATTTTTGTAAGATGGTTTATATCCCCATTTCCTTTCCTTAATGAAGAAGCACTCAATTTTCAGGAAAAAAAATAAATAAATATGTAAAGTTATTGATATATAATAGGTTGACATCTTACCTTTTGTTTTATGAACCGAACAACATTATCGGTTTTACTAGATCCTTGTTAATGTGTTTGATTGATTGTTGAGAAATAATCATGTCCAAAAAGTCGCCCATTTCTTCTCTGTTATTTATTTTTTTTTCCCTTGTTGTCTACTTCCATAATTCTTACCTTGTAACCACTCGCGTGTGTCTACCAAACAGGCCGAGCGGCCTACATCGATCATAAAGACACTCGTTTTCTCAAATGTAGAAGTCGAAGCAGATAGCCCAGGATTTCCACCGGCAAGGCGAGAAGAACCCGGTATGCCTGCTTGATTTAACGATTGTTCTAAACCTGTTCAATTTTGAATTGCTTGGTTGTATTAGATTTGGTTGATTTGAGAATTAAGGTTCCATACTAATAACTGTGCTCTAAATTTGGGATTTTTTTATATATTTCTCTAAAATTGACATACAACATTCGAGGAAGGGGTAAACTTTGCAAAAATATCACTTTTTGTATGTGTTGCAAAGATTACACCTTTTGGTTGAGTCTACTTTTTTGGTCATAATGCATAAAAAGTGGAATTCTTACAAAAATAAAGATAAAAATATCACTTTTTTCAAGTTTCAAATGCAAAGAAATGAATGGAATAAGCAAAATAGATAGATAACTGAAGGTTTGTTTGTTTGTTTGTTTTTTGGGATGTGCATTTTGCAGAGTTCCTATGCAATTATTTTCTTTCTTGCCAATCACCGGTTTTAGTAAGTAAGTAATACAGTTTCAATTGTTGATGAATTTGTTAATCGATCCGATTTTATTATAGTATAACTGCGGCTATATTGACATACGAGTATTTTGTTTTATCCCGTCTGTTTATGTTGGCATATGAATATTTTATGTTGGAATTGATTGCTAAAGTTGGTCAAAATTGATAAAGCTGGCTGCCTGGACCTTGTATCTTTTGAACCTTACAATTATAGATGTTGAGAGGCCAATTTCGTGCTTGCATATCGACCCCCACTTAGAACTTTTCAAATTCTGAAACTTATATTTAGCACCAGTGTTATTGATGTCTTATCTAGAGAAAGGTGAAGGCGGGGAATATATTGAAAAAAAAAAAGAAAACAAGTATATAACTTTTGGTAAATGATCAAAATATCTGCAAAAACAAGTGCACATACCAGCTGGTTGGACACTCGATGGCGAAGGAAAACTGTTGGTGACTCCATCGCTGGTACCTTCTGCTTGCAAAGATAGGATTCCTTCACGCAGGAGAAAAATGAAAGAAGAAAATATCTGATAAAATACTAGTGACTTAATGAGAATATTTAGCGGACCAGCGGAAATTTCTAACAATAAGTTAACCTCACATTTAAATCTTCTTTGCACTAGCTTATCCAACCGACTAACCAAAATTTGAGAAACAATTGTCTTTAATGTGCATGTGCTTGTGAAAGTGAAATTGAATCTTAGACCAATACCTGGAAAACAATCAGCGGCAGTATCTTGTGACCTTCTAGCTTCAGCCAATGGAGTTAATGTTTCTGCTAGAATAAGAAGATAGAAAAGGCTTTAGATAAGAAGAAATGATTTGCAGAAATCAAATACGCTGCCATGGTTCTCATATTTTACCAATNAAAGGATCACCCCACGAGCGTAGGGGTTAAGGCAGGACCCACAACCTGTGTATAAATATGCTCAAGGTGGGCTGAAGAATCACAAGTCTACAAGTTCATACAACGAGTACAAACAGAAGGCCGGAAACAAGAGAGAAAAGCAGAAAGGGAAAGAAAAAGAAAACAACGGCCAAAGTTAACAAATCTAAAAATTGGGCTAACAAGTGCCCAGACAGGCAAACAGTCTGCGCCACAAGTGGGCTAAAACTTAAAAATCAAAACGACTACCCAAATCTGAAAGATGGATAACTAAGTTGATCCATCTGTATAAGCGTGCAGAGTCGGAGAGAGGTGTCGTCCGGCTGAAAGATGCGCCTCTGGGGAGTGGAGGCACTGATGCAAGCTAGGAAGTCAGCGGGTCGGTTCCTTTCGCGAAAAATGTGCGATATTCCGATAGCGGACCGACTGTAGTGTGGATCTAATGCATATAAGTGGTGTTGAATCTGTTCTGTGTCTCTGTCTTACAAACTTAAGATTCTTTCAATTGACTAGCTTGTCTATTTCAGGTGACAATTACTGTAAATTTACTTATTTTGAAACTAAAAGTAAAGATAAGCATATAGATGAAGTCATGTTCTAAAGTTGCTTTAATAACAAGTCCATCTCAGCCTAAGATATTCTTCGATATATTATCCACAGAGAGTGAGACTCACCTAGTTGGGGTGATGGGCGATTACCTATTGAGGGATAAAGTTTCGATTTTTTTTTTTTTTTCAATAATCAGTGTCATAAAACAATTTAAATGTTTTTCAAACATGTTTTTAGTGATTTCACTCCTCTTTCAAGAATAGTATAGAACATTTAAGTTTTATTCTTATATAACATTTAGGTGTTTTTAATATTTTAAATAGGCCCATTTTTTATATGTTTGCACAAACAAAATTTCGTGTAACATTTTTTAATTGCTTAATATAAACAAATAAATGATATTACATATTATCTCTATATTTTAACATGTCATTCTACCACACAGGAGATACCAACACTTTCGCGCCATACGTCATACTCGTTTTTCTTTTCAACACGCCGGCGCACCTCACCGGCCACGCGGGAAAAATCCACCGTCGGTGGTTTCCATCACAATTGACCAGCTCGAACTCCATCGTCACGTCGTGGGTCGCCATCCGCTACTTTTCCTTCATTCGGCTCGCCCAAACTGATGCAAATTGAGTGACGCCGGCAAAAATTGGGGTTCATTCTATTTGGAAAACCTAAGCCGCCGAAAACCAGGCATATCATCTTAATTTATCATTATGTACTTTGTTCTTCAATTGTTTACTTTTTGCATCGGCCTGTTTTCTGAGTATGGCTGCATTAACTGTTCAGATGCATTCTGTTGAAACGGTATAAGTTTCCCGCAAGAAATAGTACAAACGCTGTTAGTTTTCGATTCTCAGTCAAAAACTCCTGTTTGTCTTTGGTCGAAGCTGTGGAAGTGTCTGTTCACTTTTCTTGATTGAACCAATTAAGTGATTATGCAATTCAACATACGATATTTTGGCCAGTTGGTACTGTGTAAAACAGTGATAGCCATATATAGAGTTATGGAAAAGCCCTTCAAATTATTGGAAAGCTTTCCAGTTTCTCCAATCTCAGTCTATGTGATGTGTTAGTATTTTTTTTTTCTTGCACTTTCAGAGTGCTGAAATTTTGTAATTCAATCTCTCTATTTTAATTTCTTAAATTGTTTACAATTTGGAATTTAGGTCACTGTTTCGAGCAGCATTTGCTACCCTTTCCACCACTGACACAATGCAACATCCACAACATCAAAAGGCTACTAAAAGTGTAAATAGAGCTGTTTCATTTGAATCCCCACTGACGTTTCTGCCTTTGCATCTCACATGTGGACTAGGCTTAGCTTTAGGTTTCTGGGTGGCATTCAATATTTACTCCTTGACGATAATCCAAAATTCAGCAGAAACTCTTCTTATATTATGGGTAATGTACAACTCAACAGATTTCATTCACCACGTCTACGGTAACACATGCATTGGCATTTATTAATTTTATTTTGGCCTTTCAGGTAGTGGAGGCTTTAGTCGTGATCCCGCTCTATAGTCTGTTTCGCCATGACACGGATCTATGCTCTGTAATTTTAATCTTTTTGTTATTTGCGTTGCATTGTATTTTCCTTTAGAATTCCATTGCAATGATTGTCCATTAACCATTACATTTATTTATTATTTCTATTTCATTTGAAAAGTTATTGTGCATGCTTTCTTCTCCTTTCAGTTTCTCAAAGCAATAGTGAGAGGGTTGCTGGGTCTCCCTGCTGGTTAGTGTTATGGGAACTTACATTTT